AGATTTCTTCATACCCAGCAATTTATCGAGTTTGTGAAGGAGAGAAAACCACCATCCCAGTGGATCATTGGAAAAACGTATCTTGTATTAAATACTTTAAAGATTCATGAAGCAGCTTTAATTTTGTTTGCATTTCTTCCTGAAGGGTAAAGCTGTCAGAAATCTCTAAATGCATTGCCTAATCCATTTCCAAACTCAGTATATTAAAGTCTGCAAGCAAAACTCGTTTTTGGAGTTTAGCAAGTATGCAGACAGGAGAGAAGGCAGGAGAGAGTAGGAGATATTTTTCTTTCCTTGGTGATTCTCTGAACTACCTGCATGGCTGTAGTGTCAGCCCTTCATGAAAAAGAGTGCAACTCAAATGGAGTGTAAGACCAGCTCTAATAAATTGAGTACTTCACATGTTTCCATTGGATCAGATACAAATAGAATAAACACAGCTATCAAGGAATGAAGGTTCAGAAAAAGAAAATTTCTTTCCTTTTGTTGCCTACAAGCTTACAGGACTGCCATGAGCATGCTTATGTGCAGCTGAGGAGCTTTTGTTTTCTCATTGTTCCAGTTTCTACTCTATGACCTTTTTTGTGTTAGTAAATGATTTTTTTTTCCAAGGTTCTGGTCTGCCAGCTGAAAAGCCTTTCCTGTTTTCTTATGCCTGCATAGACAGTGCTCACAGTAGGGCTTAGGGGGCTGGCTGGGAAATGTTCATTTAAGGAACTGGTTCAATGAAAGGGAAAGAATGAGTGAAAATCATCTCCAGAGTAGAGAAAAATGATCTGACATCAAGCTCTCTGTCACATACAAAGGAAATACCTCTCGGTTGCCAGCCAAGCTCTGCAGTAGCCAATACAGAGCAAGAATGCCCAAGACAACAGCAGGATGCCTCGGGTTTGATGCTTGGCACGTTGTACAAAGGTGCCTGAAGGGCCGTTTCACGTATCGAGTCTAATCCATCCTCAGCTGGCCCACAGAAATGATTAGCCATGGCATTGTCAGTCCTTGCTTGGAATTGCTACTCGTAACTGCATCCAGCGGTGTGTTCTTTACAGCATACCTATCTGCCCTGGAGACAGGCACTGCTTTGCATGCAGACCTGAAGTCCTTTGCTGGTTGTGCACTGGGAGACCTGATGACAGTTCATAATACTAATTTAGAATCACAGTAATGTTAAATGTGAGCTGTGCCTGGCCAGCTAGACCATCGTTAGCTACCGCAGAGGTCAATGTATGCTTTAAGTTCTTGCCAAACTCGGTAGTGCTAGACGGATGTTAAAGAGGCCAAGATTCAGCTATCAATTACTGTAATTGTCCTCTTTCACCCAGTTGCCACAATTCATAATGTGATCAGACCTAATACAGAGAAGTGGACACCATGGTGGTAGCCAGCTCCCTTCCCTGGCAGAGTGCTGGGTGTAGTGCTGGTGCGGTGGGCTCCCCGAGCAGGGCTGCCAGGCCTCTGTTCCCTGAGAAGGGCTGCCTTAAACACCCAGGCACATTACTGCACAGTATCAGGACTGTCAGAAATGGACGATTCCTTCATTTCTTACCAAAGGCCTTGCAATAGTCAGATTGAAGCATGTAAGTGTGCCTTGTTAAGACACCTTCATACAGTTTGATGTCTTCACCTTCTCATTACTTTTCTTCTCAAAATAAAGAATAAAAATGACTAGTCTCATGTAAGCTCCTCCATCGTTAGTTCACGGATTTCTTGCCCGATGCCTCTGTCTCCAGACTCCTGCTCCAATGATTTTCTGAGAGGTAGCCCTATGCCTTATTGAAAGTCAATAGGCTTGTTATAGCCTTACTTTTCCTGGGACTTCTCTGGAATGACCTTTCTCCTACTGCCATGCTCCAGCGCCAAAATCAAGGGCTACACCAAGGAGGACTTCAGGTGTCCTACTGACACTCTGACTTTCTCAGCCTCGCATACAGGCACAAGTGACTGAATGTTCCATTGCAATGCACTCGGTCTGTTGTCAGCTTCCTGCCAAGAATGACGCTGCAAAGGTGTTGTAAGGTGACAGTGGGCATGGTTGTGCTTTGATGGTAGAGCATCCTTGCGTGTGACTTGCTAATGTCACTGTTTGACTCAGAGTGTCAATTGCTGGTTAGAGTTTCTTGGAATGAAGAAGTATTAACTGTAAATTGCTGCGGCTGGTATCTAATTACAGAATACATTGGGAAGCACTTGGGCGACAATCCAACAAAGCACTTAAGCACCCACTGATTTTTAAGGAAAAGCCCCTTGACTGGGATTGCTCATGCCCTCAGACATTGTGAGAAGTGTTTGTTAGGGGACCAGTACTTTCTCCTGACTACCTCAGCACATCCATCTCATTTTCTGAAGTGACTTAAGGAGCTGGGAGTTCAAGGTTGACTAGAAGTCTGCAGGAAATAAACTCCCTAAATCACTGCTGTACTTTGAAAAGTGTACTCAGCTGGACAGGTTCTTTTGCTGTTTTTCATCCTTGCTGTGATAAAGAAAATTATGACAACTTTTAAACCACTGCTAAATTCTGAGGTTTGCCTTTGCCTATCTAGATGTTCATGTTGCAGTGGGGTTACCCAAGATATTCTAATAAGTAATGGTTGGAGCGTGCTTTTGAAATGCAGACATAATGCAGTTTTTCAATATGTCCTGCTAACAGAGAAAGGGGACAACTGACAGAAGGAAGGTAGCAGTGAGAAGTGATAGGAAAGACAACCCAGGTGGGAAAATAAATTCAAAAAAGCTTTTTATCTGAACCAGTCCGTGGTGCCCCACTATGTAAGTAATCACTGAGAACCATGGCATGAAAAATCTTGTGAACCAGTGAGACCATGGCATCACACTGAGGATAATAATGCATTGATTTAATATAACGAAGAACAAATAAATCAAAAGTGGAGGTTACGGTTTAGGTGTGCTGGTTTTGAAGCCTGAATTAGAAATACCGATTTTCTCAGAATGTAGGCGGGAGGATGGAGGAAAAGCACTGGGGATTAGTCCTGCTCATCCATTCAGTCTGGACAGGAACATATGGCTGGGCGCCCAGGTGTTTCAGTCCACTTACCAATAAAACAAATACTTTTTACTCCAGAAAAGTTCAGCAAAATTTCTTGATCAAAAGATGAACAAAGTCCAGCCTAATCCACTGAGGTCTTGAACTATTTCAGTGGTTCCCTGTCTTTTGCAAGGCAAAATACTTTGGTCCTTCCACACATGCCTCTGCTTCTGACATTTGTGTTCATCCTACCTTTCCTTTAATCGCTTGTCCCTCTACATGGCAAGTGCTGCTTTGACTGCCCTCTCATTCTCGCTGCACTTCCTCCTCCTCCTCCTTCTGCCTGCCACAGCCTCCTTGCTGTCTCCAGACTTCGGCTACATGGTTTCATTGCTTCTCCTCTTTCCTGATAGCTCTGACTGCTGATGCAGGACCCCACCAGGATGCATGGCCTGGGGTGGGCTCCCTCCTCTGCTTCACTTCTACCAGCAATACACCCGCCTCTTGGGTACCAGTCCAGTTTCCTGAGATTCAATTTGCTATACAAATTGCTGCTGATACAAGTGAGGCTCTGGAGCAAATTACTGTCAGATCAAAGATGTCCCTTATCAAGGGAAATCTTGCAAGGTCCATGTTTTTAGCTGATGGCTCTTTCCTGTTAGTGAAGTATTCCTGATGGACGACTTTGATATTTTGGTGCGGTCAAGAGGAAAATCACATTCAAAAAGAAATTCAAAAACGAGGCTGTGTCAGAGCATTCACACCTCCTGTAAATATCTGTCCTTGTTCCAGACTTAGTTTTAGATTGTGAAGAATGCTGCGTAGCCAGAAGTTTTACACCGTGGTCCTCTGTATGGTACCGGCCACCAGCAAGCTGCTGCTAATTAGCTATGGTAATACTGTAATCAATGGCAGGAACTCAGGTCTCTGAGTAAATAGTGCTGAGATGAGCAGGAATTATGAATAATTGCACTTTACTAGAATTCGTAACTGATTTCCAGAGGTTACCCAACAGTCAAACATTTGTCACCCTCCCCATCCCCACGACTGCTGATAGTGGGGGTAAAAAGTGATTGTTATGCCAAAGTAATGAGCAAAGAGGTCAGGAAGTTTGATAAGAGCAGGAAAAGTCATATCCTGTGATATCATTAGCAGTACTTTAGAGAGCAGGTTCAGTAATTGCTATGGTAATTCTGAATGGCTTTTGACTGTGAGAACATGTACATAATTTTTTTGAGTTAGCATCTTTGCTAGAGGGAGAGAATTCCACTAAAATAAGGCAACATGGTGTTACAGAGGGGCGTGGGCTGGGGGCTTGGGAAGCAGAGGCTCTGCTCTATGCTGTGTGACTTCTCCAGGCCTCGCTTTTTCTTGTCAAAATGGTCTATGGTAACATATATGCATCAGTAAGCAAGCACAAAAGGAAATTGTGAATCTCAGGATGTAGCTGCCTAGCAAGGTGATGTCTCAGTATCTGTTTTGCAAATATTTCAAGAAGTGCATGCCTGTACAACAAACATCATGCATTTGTTACTGCTGCACAAACTGCAAAATCAGAAAGGCTGGGCAGTGCTCTTTGTATGGGCAAAAGCAAAATTTGCTTGAGTGAGTCCTGGTTTTAAAAGTATGAGATCTAATTATGACTTAACAGCAGACCTTCTGATAGTTCCTCTGGGAGAACAGACAGGCTGGAGTATTGTGGGACTTCTCCAGGTTATTTTTGAGCAAAGTCATTGATATTCCTTTGGTTTTCAAGAGATGCTTTTAACCAGAGAATGAGAGCCATTACAGGTCTGTGTGCATGCAGATACACTTTGGTTTTCACAGAGTTGGTGGTAGTTTGCTGCTTCTAGCTATGCTGCTTCTTTTGAGCTTTTACCACAGCTTTGTTTGGAGTTAGAAAGAACAATGCCTGCAAGTCTCTACATGCTGGGGAGCAATGAGGAGGGGACACTCTTCAGTGTATTTTACCCCCCAGTGCCTGCTTGGGTTTTAATTCTTCCTTTCTTCTTTCCAGGTGCAAACAGATAACCTATCCAGATGACCTGCCCCAGATCTCTGTGGTCTTTATATTTGTAAACGAGGCACTCTCTGTCATCTTGCGCTCTGTGCACAGTGTTGTGAATCACACCCCATCACACTTGCTCAAGGAGATCATTCTGGTGGATGACAACAGTGACAATGGTGAACATACATACCTTTTCGTCTACGTACTGTATCCTGTGTGGTTAATGGACACAAAATGTAAATCGAAGGGAATCTGGTCACTATTAGCTGAAAACTAGTAGCATTGAGTTATTCTGCATTTAAACAGCCAGGAAGGAAGGCCGTGCATGCAATCACTGATTTATGGATAATAAGCTTGATTATAAGTTGGTGTAAATTAACACACCTCTATTGAAGCCAGAGGAATTTACAAGAGTTTATGTCTTGATGAGAGGGTTGATTGAGCCACTTGCAATAAGCTGTGAGTAAATATTAACTATTTGTATAACAAATAAACATTATGTGGATAAACCCTGCTGATTTCATTGAAATCCTCACAGGATGAATGACATTTGCATAGGCAATCTTAATATAGAAATGACACTTTTGGTTTTGGAGAACCAAATTTTCAGATCCAGAGGAATATCATTAATAGACTAAAACTTTAAATTCTGCTTCCAAGGAAAAGTGGGGCTTTTTTAAGATTCTCCTTAAAGATAGTTTCTGCTCTTTTACATGGCAGCACACTCTGCTTCTTCATGACTTAAACAGGTGTTGATAAGTATCAGATTTTGGGTCTGATTTTTTTTTTTTTTTTTTTTTTTGAGGTTTGAAGTATGATTATGAGAATGAAACAGCATGAGTACAAAGCACATGCAACTCAGGTCATCTGGTTCATTAATGTAAAAATAACATTTCTGTTACAACAATCAAAACTCAAAGTGTTGCTGAGCATGTAGGGTGCTATTGATCAACATGTTTCACGGGATGGTCAGGTTTGAAGAACTTTCAGGATGCAGGTGACTGGCAGTGTTGTTGTGTTTTAAGTTATTATACCTTAGACTTCTGGAACGGTTGCAGCTTCTCAAATCGTATTTGTTGAAATAAGGTTCAAGTTTAGCATTTCCTCCACAGATCAACAGCTTTAAATCTTTCAGTTTTAAGTTGCCATTCTTCTTCAAGATCCCCAAAGAGAAAGGAGGGTTGAGAGAACAAATCACTAAACCAAAAATAAATCCCCAAACCTATAGATTTAAGAAACCTTTTGTCCAATTCTGCTTTCAGTTACGGCGGTATAACCTATGGAGTAATTATGTGAGATTGCAAAGTGTTTGAGTCAATGTAATACAGAGGAGAATTGGATGCATTGTTTCTCAGTGAACTCTTAAATGGCTTTTCTCTGTCATTCTTCTAGATAACTGGAGATTTATCAGGTCTTTGATTCCAATGATAATGATTCTACTGTGTAATATAGATCAGAAGAACGAGGCTTCTAATGTCCTGGAAGCTTCTACTAGTTTTCCCAATCAATATATTTGAGTAAAAACCTCATTATGAATAAGTTGCAGTGTAAATGAATTGCCAAACTAGATTGATATAAAAAAAACACAGAGACCATTTTGGTAATTTGCCTGTTTATAAGCCTATTGAAATGAAGCTGAATAAAGGAGTGAATGAGTTCTGCTCCATCTGTGGTTGAATGCCTGAAAATGAACAAAAGGGAAGTCATCTATTTGAAATCTTCAATATCCATTTAGTTCAATGGGGAAGAAGCTTGGTATTGAGGCATCTTAATTATATTTAAGAGAAACCCCTTAAAATCAAGGGAAATTAATTCTGATCCGAATTAGGTTTTGACCCAAAATCCATTGAGGCTATTTTTCAACTCTTACCGAATAGCATAAATCAGGAAAAAAAAAAAATAAAAAAAAAAATCACCTTTCTACCATGTTACACTGCTGTAAGGTCAGAATTGCTCCTCCAGAGACCAGTTACAACTTAATGCAAATCATCAGAGACTTAAATAGTAATTGTTTAATAATATTTAGACAATCTACCTCTTGAAAACAACACTCAAATCCATCAGGCCATATTAAACCTGTGCACGTGTAACAGTAACTGCTTTGATGTGTAGAAAATTTCTCTGAGCTGATATCCCTGGAACTAGTCCATGCCACAACTGCAGTATATATCGATTTGTATCTGTGAGACTGACGAAGGGTTTAGGAATATTTAAGGATTTTTTTCCCTTTCTGTTGCAGAATAAATCAAAGTAAAACGTAATGTTGCAGGGCTTTTCTCATTCTGAATGTTTCTGTGGTTTTTTGTCCTGCAGTTGAGCTAAAATTTAATCTGGACCAGTATGTCAATAAAAGATACCCAGGTCTGGTGAAAATAGTACGCAATAACAAGCGAGAAGGACTGATTCGAGCCAGAATCCAAGGCTGGAAAGCAGCAACCTCTCCTGTGGTCGGATTCTTTGATGCTCACGTTGAATTCAATGTTGGCTGGTAAGTTGTTGGCTATTCCCGCAGGGAGAGCAGTACTGTTACACTGTGCCCCATGTCTCAAAGGCTGTGAAAGAGATTTCCTCAGCAACAGGGAAGCTGAAAAAGCATAGGGATGAGACGGCTGTAGGCTGGTGTTATCCCGTTAGCAATTTCTTTTGAATAATATTCTTGATTATTGCGACATTGCTGACAATCGTCTGCCATGGCTGCAAGATCCATAAAAAAGCCGTTGTGACTGCTCTATCTAGTACAGCTCAGTGGAGAGAGAAGTAATTTAAACCACAATGAATATGAAACCTCCAAAGCAGTGAATTGGGGAAACACCATTAAGGAGGCTCTGGGCTGGAGGCAGATGCGTGCTTTCAAGTACTTTTTTTTTTTTTTTAATCTCCTCATCATTTTCTATCATTTCTTCTTAGAAACTTGGATACCAATCTGATTTCCTCATACCTTTTCTTGCATTTATGTTTGAGGGAAACATTGAATTATTTCCTACAATTTTAATGGTGCTTGAAATTAGCACGCCTTTCCTCATCCGCTTGGTTTTGCAAGGGAGCGGTATTGACTGTGCCGAGTATGGTTTTGGGCTTAATGGGCCTGATTTGCCGTTGGAGTAAATCTTTGTAGCACCACTTAGTGGCCAATATTCGGCATTACTGGAAGTCGGGACTGAAGGAACGGGTATGTACAGCCGGAAAAGGGCTGGTGGGACCTTCAGTATGTAAAATGTGTATTTTCCAAAGATAGGCTGGTGTTTGGTAATGGTGATGCAGGGTTATGGTGGAAATGATTGTGTTCTGCAGTTCTGGGAGATATCCCCAAATTAAAACTAAAAATAGCTGTGCTTACAACCAGAGAGAAACTTAATTGCGAAGGAGTGGAGTGTTTATTTTTATATTTTCATGAATATCTTTATAAAATGAAAGATGCAATAAAAGAAGTGTTGTAGTGTACCCGGTTTGTCTTCACCCCGTTTTTTTTCTCCAGGACTATGAAAGATTGTAATAGTTGCAGTAATTTTCTAGAAGCTTAAGAGCTGGTTTAATTTATTTATTTACTTTTAAAACAACTAGATCTTTCAAATCATTGCAAATATTCATGTAGGATAATATCAGCAACTGGATAGGATCAGGGAGTGGGGAGAACATGTCCTGGGTACTGTTCCCAGTGCTTGTCCTGCTTAAGCTATAGTTTTCTGAGCCTTGCAGAGAATTTTGTTATCACTTCTATAAAGGACATTGAGATCTTACTGATGTACGCTACCCAGAGAAGCTAGGCAATGGTGTTAGTAAGCAGGAAATGGTTCTGTCGTTGCTTTTGGGTTTGTTTGGGCTTGGTGGTTTAACTTTTTTAACTGGCTGCATTAATGTCAGAAAGGGTTGAAATCAGCATAGCAAGAACCTAGACTGCTCAGTGGATGAGAGTGTGTGTATACCCGAGATAAAAAGTGTTTGCATTTACGGCATCCTCCCTGGTGTACTCTTCTTTCAACAAGTGTGCTTAAGTCTCAGTAATACTGCCGAGCCAGTCTGTGCAGCTGCTTTGAAACCACTTGGCTTCTGGAGTAGCCACAGGGGATGAATGAGAATAGCAAGCGTGCACCAGGAGCACCGCGTATCCCTTTGTTTCAGAGCTGCACCGGGAGGCTCAGTGTTCCCTTCTGCTGCTTCTCCTGTTGTTGCCCTCAACCCTCAGGGCTGCTAACAGCCATCTCAAGCCTTGTTCTACCTGTTTCCTCCTAGTTTTAATTCTATTTACCTGTGCACATGCAGTTTCCTGTCATCTCAATTTTCATCTCATCTTCTTTTACTAGGAGGGACTAGAAGTCCTTCCATCTGGACTGCTTTATTTTTTCCCACCAGTTTAACATTATCCCTACTCCATAACCCTATAAACTCAGTAGTCATGCAGGAGTATCTCGTTAAAGTACTGCTGTTCTATTCTCCTACTAAGTCTCATCTTGCATAAATATTTCTCCCCATTTTCAATGTATATTCAAGTATTCAGAGGCCACATGGATTGCTCCCACTCAAAGCTGTCTATGGATTATTTGTGAGGCAATTAAAAAGAAGCCAATTCCTTTACCACAGAAAAGCGCATTAGCTTTCTGTTTCGTTTGTGTTCCATCTAAAAGTCAAGTACCTGCAGTGCAATTTTAGTCTTCCAATCTATGGCTGTTTTACCTGCCTAATCAGTTGGCAGATTAATTCATAAAGAATCAGAGAAGGACTTCATCGCTTTCTCGTTAAATATGCAGGACTCTGACAACAAAAACTTTTATTTAAACAATAGTTGCCCCGTTTATGCCTCAGCTTTTTCCTTATGTTGCACTATAGCATTTTATGGTCTCTCACAGCATTACTCTCCAGAGACACTTATTCTAAACTAAAATACAATCTGGTAGGTTATAAAAAAGATACTCTGCAACCTGGCAGGTCAAATTAACTGTTGAATTATTTATTTTGCTGTTCTTAATTGCTCCTTTTTTGCTTTTGAGGTGTTGAAATGTATTAGCGCAGAGCAGAGATTTTCTACTGACCTGTTCCTCTTAAGGCTGTTGATAGTGTGAGCCAATACTGCTGCTGTGAGAGGAAAAATGGAGAGGACTAGCTGAAAGGGAGGCCTTTACTGTTAATTCTCAAATGTAATTTTAAATTAAAATTACATTAGAATGGAAGTGTACACTTCACGTGTAAAATTCTACCTGTCCTGCAATAGAACCTCGTCTGGTTTCAGTGGTTACTAAACAGGAGTCAGCATCTAGAGTCAGCAACCCAGCAGAACCAACAGGTGTGAAATGCTCCTGCACATTCCTCTCTGAGGGTGTATTTAAGCTTGTGTAGTTCAGTTTTTCCCTTCAGTCCCCTGAAGATTTCAGCATTTTCTGCTCTGACTTTTGTATTAGGTCCACCAGCTGTGCATTAACCAATGCAGAGTAACACAGAGTACAGAGTATTGCATCCTGGCTGCTGTGTTGCAGAAGAAGTAGAGCATTACATAGACTCCTGTCTTTGAGAGATGGGAAAGAATAACACGACAAGGAGAACAGAACTTCACTACATTATATCTGGGAGCAGAAAAGAGATAGCAGAGGTGGGGTGTTAATTCTTTGGGCGAGAAAAAGGACACATTGAGAGAAGGAGAGCTGAATTTGGTGAGTGAAAGGCAGAGACCACAATATATTAGCAGCCATAAAGAGGGTGCTAGGAGCCATAAAAGAAGACATAATGATAGAGTATTATACTTGCATTCTATCTGAGGAATTGCTTTTACTCCTGTCACAGAGGTAGTATCAGAGCACTGAATGGAGTTACGCAGTACTGTAGTAATTAAAATTTTGCCAGACAAAGGGGGAGTATCAGTAAGGAAGCAGTGGATTTAATCAAAAAGGATTTAATCAAAAGATTTCAATATACCAGAGGGACAGAGTCAGCCCAACATGAGAAAGAGGACCTGAAATACAAGCCAAGTTTTCATCAGATTGTGCCACCCCCCCCCCCCCCATCATTATGAATTACCCCTGAAGTTGGCAGTGTTTTAAAAATACAGAAAACTGCTGTTTTAGTGAACTAAGAAGAGGAGCTAAAGATCAAGATTCCTAGGTCTATGGATGATACTTTGCAGATGCTATTTTATACTGTAATATGTAGTGCAATTTCCTCTGTGTTTTGCTTCTGAGGTGTTGAAATGTAGTGGCTGTAAGCAATGGATTCTCAAGAAAGTGTGTAAAGGAAAAAGGGTGTTGATTTCCTCCTAATCTTCTACTGGCTTTGGTTATCCCAAGTACTCTGTAACAGAGACATGGTTATGCTTTTGTAGGGCAAAGCCACAAGGTCTTTGCCCCCCCTGAAAGCTCCCTTGTTAATATTTTCATGCAATATACTGGAAGCAAAGTAAATGCCCCATGACCCCTGTTCAAGCTCAGGTGGCTCTTTGGGGATCTGGCAAGGTCCAGATGGCTCTTTCCTCTAATGAAAGAAGTGCTGAAGGTGAGGGTGAAATTACATTTGCAGTCCTTCTCCTGTGAAGTCCCTCCCCTC